AAAAATATCATTTGGTAATTGACTAATCCGATCTCTTGACTTAGTCTCTCTCATCAAGTGACTAAAAAGAATAAGAAAATAAACAACATGCAATAAGTTAATTAGTAGAATCATTAAAATCAAATGAGTAACAAGATATATAAACCACAAGAAATAATTATTAAAAAAAAAAAACAAAGTTAGTGTATTTGTGAATTATTGTTAAGGTCCAATTAGCCTTGATGTGGATATGGCTCGATGCCAATTGCAACCTTTGAAATCAGTTATGTTTAGTCTGCAACTTTGACTTGGATGTAGGCCCTAAATAGACCAACCTTTATGGGCTTTGGTTTTACTAGTTTTAGTGGCTTGGGTTACTGGACTGACTGTTTGCTGGACTTGTTAGCTTTTAAGTAGAATTCTGCTTTGGGCAGAAGTACTACTTCAGCCTACCCAAATTCCTAATCAATATATTTAAAAAATTTCACACATAATATTAAAAAAATTTAAATAAATTTTTATTCTTTTATTATACTAAATCAAGTTTTTATATTTTTATTTTAAATCAAATAAATATTTTTGATTAATAATTGATTAATTTTTATTAATCAAAATATTTATTGATGTGACATTAATATGAAGGAAAAAAAATATAATGTAACCATATCATGTTGTATTATTATCAATTATGACATGTTAAAATATCATGTTAATATCATATATGTATCACGTGACAAAAAATGATTAATGATATTTTTGATTAAATAAAATATGAATAATAAAGGTTTATTTGATTTTAAATAAAAATATAAAAATTTATTTAACTAAAAATAAAAATACTTAAATGTAATAACAATATAAAAATTTTAAAAATATTTTTAGATATTATGCCAAAATTTTGTTCTTCTTGTCATCCTACCCTTAGTCACTTTTACTTGTCTAAAGTTAAGGATTGGATAAACATTTCAAATTTAGGTTATTTTATTGGTTTTCAAATATAATTTAGAAAAATGATTTGTTTTGGCGTTTTTGAATTCTAGAACCCTTCTTGCTTCATGTTTCTTATGTTCATTTTAGGTGAAAATCTATTAGATTTGAATTATACAATACAAAGTAACATATTAATTTGTTTTTCTTTTCCTTTTTTTGGATATAAACAATTGGAGATACCCTGTGTCAAAAGCTTCAGCTTCATGAATTACATGGACAAATAGAAGAGTGCCATGTTATAACTTGCAGCCAACAGCAACCAATGAAAATTCAGAACCAGAGAAGCTTGCTTGGTTGATTTGCTTTGCTGGAATTGAGATGTAGTTTGGATGAAAATGATTAAAAAAAAAAAAAAAACTGGTACTGGGACTGGTAGTAATCATCAGAAGAATATTCATAAATGACAATATATTATGTACTACCTGACAAAGAGAGGCAAAGCATTATTGCATTTGAAGACAATTAAAGCACGCCATCGACTGCCATCACTAACTAAAATACCAGCTTTTGGGCTTACATGCTCTTCAGTCTTCACCCAGCAAATATGACGAAGTACACTACTTCTTCAGATTATTTATTAATGATCGTTTGAATATGGGACTACCCTTATTTGAAAATTTGTTGCAATTAGAGCTGCGAAAAACTATCCCAAATTAAAAAAATCTGTTTCATTCGGCAAAACATGGACAAAACCCAGTTTTAATCTCGAAATGATTCAAACTCGAATTTTAAAATGATTTGACTTTAGAACGATTAATACTTAAATTGATTTAAACTTATAATTACTCAAATTCAAATGTTTTAAACTAATTTAAATTTAAAATTAATTAAACTCGAACGAATCCAATTTCGAAACGTTTTAATATAAAATAAGCTAGATTTCCTTGTATCCAAAATATACCGACTCAAGCCTAATCTGAATAGTCTAATTGCCAGTGATTGCAATTCAGGCAGAGTTTCTCTTGCTGCATGTTGTAACGTAGAAGTGATGGGTATCTAGTCCATCACGCTACTAGTCCTCCAAAAGATGACCACCAAGTCAAATAATTTGGAGCATAGGAGTTTGTGATTTGCTATGTCTTTTTTTTTTAATTAATATTATTGTTACTATTTGTCTTTCACATTTTCGCTCAAATTTTCAAATGATAGTTTTATTAACTGCATGAGGAGATTGTATTTGACACTCGGACTTAATTGCGTTCCACTATTAGTTATTTCCATAAATACTCTGTTGCTTGAGGATTTGAACCTTCTGAAACGTGTAATCCACAGAGAAGGCAACAGTTGAGGTTACAATCAGGTTTTTAAGTTAGCTTTCTACAAAGCGGTGATTGATGTGTTTCTTCACCATCCCGCAATCTGCTTAACTGAAGTTTCATGCGAAGCACCGCCAGGAGGCCTGGACTGGAAATTGAATTGCTTGCACAATTCAATAAACTCCATTGATTTCAAAGGTCTAATTGATCTCTTTTTCCTCTCAATGCAATTTCAAAGGAGTTGTTAGCTGAGGTTTCAGTTAAAGCCAAAGCAGTTAGAAAGGCTTTGTATTAGTTCCCCGCTTGCAAAAATATCGTGGCTCCTAGCCAGGATAAGACGTTACCATTCTCGTCACCCTCCTTTCCCCATCGTTCTCTCTCGCGTTTATGTTAACGTGTTAAACGTGTTTGCCATGTAACGATCACCCTCTTAAAAATCTTAATGCCCTCAAGTTTTCTATGTTTAACCCACCTAGCTGCTTAATCGGACACCGATTTTCCTCTGCTTTTGACTCATATAAGGACTTGCTTGTCTTGGTAAATCTGTTCAAACTTATCATTCTTGCTCTTCATTATTCTCAAAACCTCATCCCTATGTCTTTCTCCTTCCTCGTTATCACATATTGTTGATGCCCATAAGGAACCTGTAACTTCTTCAGTTATTTTCCTTTTGTTTTCTTCTGGTTTGATCTTTATCTTCTATTCAATATTTTACTTCCAGTCCTCTATATAAAGCAACAGTGAAGGTCTCTGAATTCCCATTACTTGTTGGGGCTTGAATTCTAATATCAACGGAAAATGAGGAGGATTGATCTGGTTCTGGTTGTGCTCTCGCTGGCTCTGGTTCTCGGAATAGCAGAGAGTTTCGATTTCCATGAGAAGGACTTAACATCCGAGGAGAGCCTGTGGGATTTGTATGAGAGGTGGAGAAGCCATCACACGGTTTCTAGGAGTCTTGATGAGAAGCACAAGCGCTTCAATGTGTTCAAGCAAAACGTAATGCATGTGCACAACACTAACAACGAGGACAGACCTTACAAATTGAAGCTGAACAAGTTTGCAGACATGACTAATCACGAATTTAGGAATGCTTATGCTGGCTCAAAGATTAAGCATCATAGGATGTTCCAGGGGACACCTCGTGGGACTGGGAGCTTCATGTATGAGAATGTAGACCGTGTCCCACCCGCGGTTGATTGGAGGAAAAAGGGTGCCGTTACTGCCGTTAAGGACCAAGGCCAATGTGGTAAGGATACATGTTCTATTAGTTTGCTCCAGGGTTACTCTTGTTTTTTTTTTTTTCACTAAATTTTATTATTCTTTTAATTGCCACCCATTCATCCTACATCAATGAAGGGGAATGGCGTTAATCTCTGCTCTTATTGCCAGTCATAAGTTTCAATTGCGTGTGGTCTAATTCCGAACTTTATTGATATTTAATTTAATAGGTAGCTGCTGGGCATTTTCAACTGTTGTAGCAGTTGAGGGTATTAATCAAATTAGGACGAATAAATTAGTATCTCTGTCTGAGCAAGAGCTGATAGACTGTGACACTAAAGAAAATCAAGGATGCAATGGAGGGTTGATGGACATTGCATTTGATTTCATCCAGAAGAAAGGTGGCATCACTACAGAGACCAATTACCCTTACGAAGCTGAAGATGGAACTTGTGATGTTTCCAAGGTTCAAATATGAAACAAACACCTTTAAACTTTTTAATTTGATCTAGCTGACATTCAACAAAGCTTAACTTATTTGAATTCATGACAATCCATCTGGTGGGTTATGCAGGAGAATTCTCCAGCAGTGTCTATCGATGGGCACGAGAATGTGCCTGCTTACAAGGAGGATGCTCTGCTTAAAGCAGTTGCAAACCAGCCAGTATCAGTGGCCATTGACGCTGGGGGTATGGATTTCCAGTTCTACTCAGAGGTAATTTTTCATACTGATCAGCTGTGGAAAAAATGAACTAAATTTTTCTAGCTGCAATTTTAAACTGCCAATTTGATTAAAGCAGAAGGCATAGAGTACTGCAGAACCCTTTAAAAGTACAGGCTACAGCCTGCTCCATCTACAAGACCTATGGAACTGCAAGTTTCTATTTGATAAATGTCACTTTCTTTCCTCTCCTAGAAAATTATCATACCCTACAGAGTCTGAGTTGGACATACCTCCACGTTTCCAATCATCGACATAACTCTCGGTAACAGTAAAGCTGATCTAGACAACTTAAAGTTCTAAACCTTTATCACAATTTATTCCAAGAAGATCCTCCGGATCGGGATCGGACCAATTTATTGACATTATTTGGGTCGTTAAAAGATTTCTAAGCAAAACATAAATCTGAACACTTCTGTACCAAAAAAAAAATATTAATAATCATCTCTCAATTTTGACTAATCTTGACTGCAGGGGGTATTTACTGGACAATGTGGCACTGAGCTGAACCATGGGGTTGCAGCTGTGGGCTATGGAACAACCCTTGATGGAACCAAGTACTGGATAGTGAAGAACTCCTGGGGACCTGAATGGGGAGAGAAAGGTTACATAAGGATGGAACGTGGCATCAAAGATAAGAAGGGACTCTGTGGTATAGCAATGGAGGCTTCATATCCCATCAAGAAATCTTCCTCTAATCCTACAGAACCTTCATTCTATCCTAAGGATGAACTCTAAAACAATATCTCGCCATTGATTCCAGCTCTGTTCTCAGTCTGAGCTGTTATTTCCCTCTGTTCAAAAGTTGCATGCAGCACAATCATGATTGAATAATATTTGTTTCAAATTTGGCGTCAATTTTATCTGTTACAATGACTTTCCTATCTGAGGTAGAAATAAACATTTCAGGAAGGTTTCAACGTTCAAACAAGAAACAGACTAAAGACACCAATAAATCCAGAATCCAGGGAAATTTTAAGAACATAACAAAAGGCAGCATAATAGCTTGCCCATTAACGGACAAGAAGCTTAAGTGCTGTCCAGTTAAAGCTAAAAGATACTCAACCTTTGATCGTACGTACATTTTCAACCATAGCATCTGATGGGGTCAGTGCAACCTTTTTCAGCAGATTGTTTAGAGCCAAAACCTCTTCCTTTTTCCAAGTATTGCTGATGGTACTCCTCTGCCCTGTAAAATCTTTTTGCAGGAAGAATTTCTGTCACAATTTTCTTGTCCGTCAACTCTAATTGCTTAGCCTCTAGTGACTCCCTAGCAAGACGAGCCTGGTTCTCATTGTAGTAGTATATCCCCGATCTATATTGTGATCCCACATCTTCACCCTGACAAAATTTATGGGTTCATTTAAATAAAAAGAAAGAAAGAGAGAAACTGGGAGCATTTTCAACAAATTTGTCACACCTGGCGATTGAGAGTGGTTGGATCATGGCGACCCCAGAAAACAGAGAGAAGATCGGTGTAGGGGCAGACTTGAGGGTCGAACTGCACACGAACCACCTCGACGTGGTTGGTGGTACCGGTGCATACAAGCTTGTAATTTGGATCAGGGACATGACCCTGAGAGTAGCCAACCTCTGTCTTGACTACACCTTGTACTCGCTGAAACGCCAGCTCTACTCCCCAGAAACACCCGGCTCCGAACTGGGCAAACTCGTAAGCCGGGTTATCCGGGGGGTCCAGATCAGGGTCCAAAGCAGGGTTGTTGTTGTTGCTGTCAGCGGCAGTGGCCATTCTTCAGTTCTCCGAGTGTTTGTTTTTTCCTTTCTTCTGCTAGGAGAGCATCAATGAGGAACAGAAATTCAAGTTATCCTAGTACTACTTTGGTGGTAGTTTGTTTGACTTTGAGAGTATGAACCTACCCTTTTTTCCAGTCAAATTCAACGTTGCTAAACTCGAAGGAAAAATAATTACTAGGAATACATAATGGCAATTTCCTTACTGAGAGCTAAGAGTTGGTTTTAGGAATATGTGAAAATCAATAAATTTTTTTTTTGACATAATACTCAAATTAGTTTTTAAATTGTTTAAAAAAATTTAAATAAAATTTTATTTTTTATTGTATTTAATTAAATATTTATATTTTTATTTTATATCAAATAAGTTTTATGACTAATAATTGATTAATTATAATAAATCAAAATATCGCTTATCATTTTATATTAACATGACATTGATCTAGATGGTAAAAAATGTTATGTAGTAATATTATCATGTCAAATTAATATGTAATGTCATAATCAAGTATAATATATCAGTATGTTATATTATTATAAATTATAATATGTTAATATAATACATCAACACCATACTGTAAAAAATGACAAATTATATTTTAATCAGTCAATTATTAACTTATTTAATTTAAAATAAAAATATAAAAACTTATTTGGTTCCAAATAAAATTATAAGGACTTAATTGAATGTAATAAAAATTTAAAGACTCATTTGAATTTTTTAAATAATTTAGAAATTTTTTTAAATATTATGTCAATATTTTTTAAATAAGAGTTTTATTCATAGATAAATGTGATGAAAATTTTAAATTCATTTTTTATAATGAAGTTGCAACAAAAATTTTAATGAGTAAACAACAAACATGCAGACAAGAATTTTTTTGACATAATATTTTAGAATGTGTCCAAACTATTTTAAAAAATACAAATAAATGTTTATTATTTTATTATATTCAATGGAGTCTTTATATTATATATATATATATATTTAGATTTAGAAGAAATGGGATTCGAATCCTGTTATTTAAGTAAGCAGATCATGTATAAACCAATAAACTTACTTTATTTTGAGTCCAATAAGTGTTGATTAGCCGTTATTAATTCAAACATCACATTAATGTGAGATTGACGTAAATGGTGAAATGTTAGATGACCATATCTTCATTTCATATAAATATGATGCATTATCATCATTATGACATGTTAACATGTTATGTCCACATCATATGATAGAAAAATAACCAATGATAGATTTGAGTAAAAATCAATAATTAATCTTAAAAGCTTATTTGATTCAAAATAAAAATATAAAAATTTGATTAAACATAATAAAAATAAAAAAATTATTTAAATATTTATAAATAATTCATGAATATTTTTAAAAGATTAATAAATAGTTTAACCATGACAGTTGTTAACTAAATTTTGGAAAATTCTTTTGAGTAAGGTTCACGTACTTTTGGGAAAAGCAAAAAGTCATCATAAGTTTATATAAGAAAACATTTCCCTTTTTAAGATTTATAAATGATTAAAAAAAACACATATAACAAATTTAAAATTATTAAATGTTTAATTTCTTAACAAAAAACAATGATAAGAATCCGTGGATTGAGCAAAAACATTTTAATCTTTAGAAAAGTAATAAATAAAAGCTATTTTAATGTTGAATATAGTAACCATCATCATTGACATATGTACAAGTATGTGCAGAGGCTAATGGTTCATGTCCAGGTACACACGATCCCATTCTTATCAGCAGAGGCTAATGGTTTTCCAAGTCCACTCCATGTACAACACAAGACAGGAGCAGTGTGCTCCTTCAGAGTGCTTACTATGTCAGCTTTGGATATTGACCAAATGTAGATGGATCCATCAGCAGAGCCAGCAGCAATATAGTTGTCGTCTGGACTCATACAGGACCGACTCCAATTAGATGCCACCCTGTTTCCATTTGCTCTGAATGTACCACAAACTTCCAAAGATCGTATATCAAACAAATTGTGCAAATTATCTCTGCCACTAGTCAATATTACATTTCCATTTCGGGATAGAGAAATAGATGTAATGGCGAGTGAATGTGCAGCGACTTCACTGAGCAACTTTCCTGTCTGAATATCCCACAAACGAAGATTCCCATCAACATGACCTGAGCATATGGTCCGTCCATCTGTGCTGAAGCAAAGAGCATTGCAGTTGCTGTGAAAAATTATTGTGTTCGTGCAGTAACCTTTCTGCAAATCCCACACTTTTATAGTACGATCATAAGCTGCACTCACGACATGACGACTTGAAACTTTGCTCACATCTACGGCACACACTTTATCCGTGTGACCAGTGAGGGTATGACGGACTCGTCCTGAGTTGACATCCCATACAAACAAGTTGTTTGAACTACTTGCTGCTATAATAAATCTATTGTCATGGGTGATTGCAAGATCAAGGACAGAACCAAGGCAACCAAAAAGACTATGACTTAATGATCCAGTGCTAGTATCCCACATTTTTATTGATCGATCCTGTCCTCCAGTGATCAATTTGCCAGAATTGTACTCAAACATTATAGAAGCACAACCACCTTCATGTGCATTGATCCTGTGCTTGCAAACAGAAGCAATAGTTGATTCTGCAAAGAACTCAGCACCTTCTTCACTTCTACGGACAATACCATCTACTTGCTCTCGGGCAAGTTTTTCTAAACCACTGGCCTTGAGCCGCTCAATCATATCTTCATAAAGCGCATTTGCCTAAATTAATTAATTGAAAACTGAAGTTAGCAACTAATTCTTGAAATCTAAAACAGGCATACTCAAAACTAAACTAAAGACTCCTTCAAAAGTAAGCATAGATTTCAAACTCATTCCCACGTATATTTGGAATTTCAACTTCAAACTTGGATGGGAGTGTTATATCATTCTAAAGGACACTGTTGCTCATTTAATCTTCTCTCAATTGTGACAAAGTTAAAGGAATATATATATATATATAAAACTGAACCTAAGAGAAGTGGGAAAAAACAAAAAACAGAATACTTAACAACCAAATTGCTCTAGCTGTTCAAGAAGACACAACCATAAACCATGCTCCCTTCCCCCAAAACCAAAAATAGGACCGTCTCCATCCAAAATTTATTTGTTTAAGCACCTGCTAAAGATTAAATACAACCCTTCCAGCCCCAGAGACCCCTCTTTTTCATTTTTTATTTTTATTCTTCCCATCTACTTCTTGTTGTGCAATGCAAGGGGCATGCAACTCTGAGTTGATGGTTATCCTAAGATCCTTTGTTTCTCTCAAACTTTTAAATGAGAAAGTCTCAGAATGCCCAAAGAAACAGTTTCATAATGTTCTAAATTAGCTATCTTGTATGCATGAACAGACTCCTAATGAATCACAAACCCAACACACTTTAATCGCCAAGCATCTATGGACCAAGCTATTCATCATTCCCAATAACACTTCATCAAAATAGACCTTGTTCTCTGTTTTCATGCAGCTGTAACAACATTATAGCATACCTCATTAAGTCGTTCAGCATCCTGCATCTTTTGAAGCATCCAACGATCAACCAACATCTTATTTTCAGCCTCTGCATTTTTAGCTTTAATAGTCAGTTGTTCTAGTTGAGCTTTGAGTTCCTGGTGCTCGCTCATCACCAATTCCAGTGCTCTAATATTTTCTTCCAAATCTGTCTTCAATTGAGAGCATTCATCCCTGCCGCAATAAACAGTACATCAGTTATTCATTTCACAGCAATTTTTCAAATTGGTAAAACTATCTCCCTTGCTGGCTAAACCATAAAAGAACACCATCAGACCTTGTCTGAGTCAACTCATTCTCCAAGTCAGCAATTGTTGTTTCTTTCTCCTGCAGCGAAGCTTTTAAAGCTCTGGACTCGGCTACTTCCACTACTAGTTGCTCAGACAACCTTGATTGCGCTTTGTAACATTGCTGAAGTTCCAATTCCAAATTTTCCGCTTTCTCTTTCCATTCCGAGCCCTATAAAAAAATTCACCAATTACCCAACAGTGCAAAGTGGCTTTCTATTAAGATTAACCCAATCCCTTATTTCAAATCCACTTGTTCTTATAATGTTCCAACATTGTAAACTCCTCCATCAATATCGAAACTTTAAAATAAAATTAAAAGAAAAAGCAATTTAATACATCGTCAACGATCAGAATAAACCAAAAAAAAAAAAAACCTGGGAGATGATTGGGCGGGAGAGAGCAATATAAGCGGGAGCATGAGCTCCTTCTTCGACCAAATGGCGCTTTTTCAGCGCCTTTAATGCGTGCTTGATAGCTTCCCTGGCGACCTCCTCCTGTGACCTGAACGAATTGAGCATCATTTTATTTGTTAGAATTATTATACGACCCAAATTTAATAAACTTCAAAGAGGAAAAAACGAACCCAGCTGAATTGAATCCAATTTGCCAAGAAAAAGAATAGAAGGAGGAAGGGAGAGACTTGATTTTGACTTACATAATAATATTGGCTTGGATGGAGCTGAAATTTGTATGTTGGGATGGAAACAATGGAATCGGAATGGGGTTGGGCAAGAGATTGAGATGGGAAACAAAGGATGAGAGAGAGAGAGAGTTCTTCAATGAGATTTTCAGTTGAGATTGTGAGATTGATATAAGGGTATTTCTGGAAGATGGTACTTTTTTCCGGCAGGCACGGTTCCAAAGTCCCTCACACTTGAACCATCTTTTTAAACAAAACAAAAAACAAAAAACAAAAAGAGAAAAGGCTTATAGGAATATTGACAACTTGGTTCAATTTTTGCTGTGCTGCTTTTGCCCGTTTAACGTGCTAAATGTTAATAGCAAGCAATAAATGAGTACATAATGATTTAAATTCCATCTTTTTGCTTGATAAATTAAAGAATTCAAAGAATGAAAATGAAACCCATATATTATTACTATGAGTTTATTGTTTTTTTTGGTCAGATAATTGATTTTTATTACCCAAGAAAAACGGCAGGAGAAAACCTATTGCAAAAAGTCAACAGCTACCTTGGGAGCACATAGAGGAAAACAATAAGGTAAAATGTAAAATATCACCCATTTTTAAATTTTAATTAAAATTTT